ACTCCCAGTCTTCCACAGTTAAAGTGCTACCTCTAGTATTTAGAGCTTTCCTAAATGCTTCCTAGAAAAAGTCCTTCATGACTGCACCAAACACTAGGACTTTAGTCTGTTGACAATTATCGAGGAGCAGTGCTTTGTCAAAGTTCAGATGTCTAACAGACAGAGGCTATTTCATCTCCTTCACTAAGTTTCCAGACTTAACTGATAAACTATTTTCTATGTTTTCCATCAGTGTTACTTAACTTTTAATACTTTGTACTTGTAATTTCACATGGAGTGCTAACTCTGTTCTACTACTGTGTCTGAAGTTGATTTATTTCTTAGTGTTAGCATTCCTTTCTTGTGACTTACCCTGCTCTGTTTCTGTTAAGTTCCCCACAGTCTCCTGCCTGAATAACTGCTTTTAGCTCAGTCTGTTTTATTACCCATCATCCTGGCATTAATATACAAGTAGTTGTGAGCTGGCTTATTTTCTTAAGTAGTTTTGTTTTCTTCTTTTTCTCCTCCCCCTTTTCTTCTTACTATCTCGAAGTCTGTGGTGTTTCAGTTCTTGACTTAAGAGTTGTCTCTTTATTTTGTCAAAAAGTGAGTCTTATATCCACTCCAGGCTCTTCTTATGCCAGCTCTGAAGACAGAAGATTGGATGTCTGAAGAGAAGTAGGGATTAGTCAAGAGCATGTGTGTGCTCTCTGAGGTCTCTGCTCCATGCATGAAGTTTCTGGACTTCCCTTTTCAGTTGACTAAAGGAATGACAAGCTTACTGTGCAGAGTGGCCTAGGAAATGATGATGAGGTTTAGCAGAACATATGTGGACTTCCCAATTTGTTTGAATTTGTTGGGGAGAGTGAAGGGAAGTGTGATTCATGTGGACAGTTAGGTAGTGAGTTGGAGAGATGACCTCTTTGCAGACAATTGGTACTTAAAGTGCTGTTAATCTGTATTTATTCATTTCTGGGGTTGGTGGCAAAATACGAAATGGAAGTTATCAGCTCTTGGGCTGAATGGCACATGATACATATTTGCTGGAGACTATCTAGAAGGAAATGATGTGCTTTGAAAATGTGTAACTGGAAAAGGTAATCTCATAAATGTTGTTACAGGTACTCATAGAGGGTCTGTTAGACTTCTCGATAGTTCACAATGTAATAGACAAACCACAAAAAAGTTGACTACATTTTGTCGTTTTGTTTGGGTTTTTTGTTTGTTTGGGTTTTAAGGTTTGTTTTTTTTCTTAAAGAAATGGCGAATGAGAGAGGAAGGATTCCCTGAGGAGGTAACATTTTGGCCATTTTATGGGAAATAGTGTATGGAGGTGCTCATCTGTGAAAGTAAAGTGAGAAGGAAACCCAAAGGTGGTAAAAATGGGAGTGAAAGTAGAAAGACACTAAATATAGTTGTGTAGATTGTGGGTGAGAACTCTAATGGCAGGAAGAAGTACTTCAAACAAAAATTGAAATTAGTGGAGAGTAGTGTGGTTAACTGGAGGACGCAAAAATGAGATATATTGCAAAGTAATTTGAAGCAGATGGGAGCTGGGAAAAAAATGATGAGCAGGGATGTCGAACTGGAAAAGGCTGTAAAAGTCAAGGTGACAGATGAGAGCTTAGAAAAAAATGCTCTAGTAAACAAATGGCACAACCCAAGTCACTTCTTTGCTGGCTGAAGGGAAGGAAATGGGAGAGAAAGAATTGGAGGTGACAATGGAGTTTTGATCCTGAGAGAGAATAAAATAGTATGCAGTACTTAGAATTGAAATGGAAGACTCTAGCAAGTGGCTAAGGGGGGAAAAAAAGGTGTGCTCAGTACTAGAAAGAATCAGTTGGATAATGGTGTGGCAGGAATGGGATAGGACCCTGAGATTTGGGTTAGAACCACATATAAGGAGATGTGCTGAGTTGTTGGTGTGTTTGAACAGATATACAGAGGTGGCAATTAAATTGCTGGAAAATCTGTGCTTACAATGTCCTTGTTTCCAATGAGGGGCCTAAAAGAATCACTGTAGCACTAAATCAGTGCATCAGAGCCTTAGGAATATCTCTTACTGTAATACTACTGCATCTTGCCATGAAATGCATAATTCAAGTTGCTTTATGGATGCTATGAAATAATTATAACAATTACTCAATTTTCTATATTTTTATCGCTTAATAAAAGTGTCTTCTCTCTTGTGCATAGATTTTTGATTTAATGGATGCCAAAGCCCGTGCTGACTGCATCAAAGAAATAGATCTTCTCAAGGTAAAAGATTGGTTTGAAAAATGTGTAGCCATCATGAAAGTATATTAAGCTTTTCATAGACAAAGTTGAGGTGTCCACTGTTTGTGTGGAGTTGTTGTAAGACTCACTTGAAGAATTTTGTGATCTTCATTACTTTAAAAATTAACATCAAGAAGTCCAATGGAAAAAAGAGTAACTCTTCAAGTAGAAGTTTCTGCTAAACTGCAATATTGTGAACAACTGTGTCCTATGTACAGTAAAATCCTGGTTTTAAAAATCAGCTTGCTGTTTCATATAACACTTTTAGCATACTACTGGATATATACCGTGTAGCAAAATCCCTCTAAAATTGCATTGTCAGTCTTCATGTGGATCCTAAAAAGCCATTATACTTCATGTAGTTTGTAGCATACTGGAGTAGTTTTTAGAGATTGTGCTGTTTGTCTAAATAAGAATGTTTCATATGTCAGTATTAAAAGATAAGGCATGCTCTACACTAAAATGTGAATTATTATTTTGCTTTCCTAGCAACTGAATCATCCAAATGTAATTAAATATTATGCCTCATTCATTGAAGACAATGAGCTGAACATTGTGTTGGAATTAGCAGATGCTGGAGATCTCTCTAGAATGATAAAGGTAGGGATTAACTTTTTTTTAAAAAAACAAGAGTTTGTAATGTTCAGCTTTGGCTTTTCATTCTGTGTTCTTGTCACTGGGTGAAGTGGAGTGAAAATGGCAGAAGTGTGGACAATATTGTTGGTTATGTAAGTATTTTTAACATTTGCCCAGAGAGTTAAGTGCAAGTGGGGAGTGTAAGTAGATTGAAGTTGTATTAGCACTGGGAGAAGAAAAAAAAGCCTGTAAAAAAAGCACTGTCACCACCATTTAGAACAATACATTTTAATGGCACTCCTGATTTTTTTGGTGCAACTGTGTTGTGTGTTTCATTGTTCTATTCTCTATTAATAGTAGTGAAAGCAGAGAAGAACTGGTGTCATATGGCAAAAGTGTATTCTAGGTCTTGAACTTGAACTGCTAACCACTCTGAATACATATTTGTTTGAAATCACATGTAGTGAGCTTGCTGATATGTGGTTGTGCATTATGGGTTGATTGCCTTTTTTTTTTTTAGTGCCTGTTCTTTAGCTAATCAGAAGAATTATCCAAGGCCCATTGTATAAATATTTCGTATTCTGAAACTTGTATTAACTTTTAACTGCCTCTTGTAATCTTTGCTTGTCATCTGACTACTTCTCCTCTTT